CTTGAATCATCATCAAAATCAACAAGCTTCATGTCCATGTAAGTTCAACATCAAGTCCTTGAATGTTCAACAACTTTCATGTAAGCAAATACACCAAAAGGACAAGTAAAATCAGTTTTTTCTTGATCTTCTGGATCTACTGCTATTTGATTATAATCTGAATAACCATCCAGAAAACAATAAAAAGTTTGTCCTGCTAATCTTTCTAGCATTTGATCCATGAAAGGTAAAGGAAAATGATCTTTTCTAGTTGCCTAATTTAATTTCCTATAATCTATACACATTTTCCAACATGTGACAGTCCTAGTAGGAATTAAATCATTTTTATCATTATAAATTACAGTCATACCTCTTTTTATCGGGACTACCTGAACTGGACTAACCCAAGTATTTTCAGAAATAGGATAGATCATACCAACGTCCAATAATTTAATTACTTCTTTCTTTACCACCTCTTTCATGGTTGGATTGAGACGTTTTTGAGGTTGTGCAATAGGCTTGAAATCATTCTCCTTGTGAATCTTATGCATACAATAAGATGGACTGATTCCTTTAAGATCATATAAGGTCCACCCTATAGCTTCCTCATTATCTTTAAGAACTGAGATCAACTTTTCTTCTTCAGAATTTGTTAATGCATTGCTAATCACCACTGGTTTGTTACTTCCATCTGCAAGAAAAACATATTTTAAGTGAGGAGGTAATACCTTTAACTTTAGCTTCTAACTTTCAGTTTTATTCTCTTGCTGCAATTTCTCAGATTGTGTTTCCTTTGAAGTAATCTCTTGTGCTGAATCAAGATGTTTCACATAATTTTGAACTTCTTCTTCATTTTTTTCATCAAATTCATCATCAACACCTATTAAGGCTTTTTCTAAGTGCTTGCTTTAGTTAGTTGCTTCCTTGTTACTTGAAAGATATCATTTACCACATCCATCCTAAGATAATGTTGTTTATCTTTGGGATGCTTCATTGCTTCAAATACATTAAAATTAACTTCCTCATCTTCTACTCTGACTTTTAATTTGCCATCATCCACATCAATAATGACTTTAGCAGTCTTTATGAAAGGTCTTCCCAATATAAGAGGAACTTCAGTGTCTTCCTCCATATCCATTATAACAAAATCAACTGGGAACATAAATTTATCAACTCTGACCAAAACATCCTCCGCCACACCATGGGGAAATTTCAGAGATCTATCAGCTAACTAAAGTGTCATTTTTGTAGGCTTAACTTCCAACTCCCCTATTCTTTTAAGCATAGACAAAGACATAAGATTTATACTAGCACCCAAATCAAGTAATGTCTTACCTACTTGCAAAGTTCCAATTGTGGCTGGAATAGTGAAACTGTCAGGATCCTTGGACTTTTAAGGTAATGATTTCTAAAATATAGCATTGCATCCTGCTTCTAACTCCACTGTTTCAGTAGTAAATCTTCTTTTCTTAGTTAATAACTCTTTCATGAATTTTGCATAAGTTGGCATCTGCTCCATAGCTTCCACAAATGGAACATTAATCTGCAAGTGCTTGAAAATATCCATGAATCTTGCAAACTGTCTTTCTTTATCTTTCTTTGAAGGATGATGAGGATATGGTAAATACTTTAATTGAGGTATTTGATTCTCACCTCTCTCCCTCTTTTTCTCACTATTTGCATTTTTCTCTTTCTCTTTTTTTCCAATAATTTTTTCTTTTTCTACACTCTCACTTTTATTTTTCTCTTCCTCTTCACACTCATTTTTTCTCTCTTTATCTTCTTTTCCTTGTAAGATTTCATTCTCTACAGCTAAGTTGTCACCAATCCCTTCTCCTATAACCTTACCACTCCTTGTAGTTATTGACTTGCATTGCTCCTTTGGATTAGTTTGTGTGTTAGCTGAAAACTTTCCTCCTTGTTGCTCAGATAATTATTTAGCAAATTGACCCATCTGAGTCTCTAAATTTTTGAATGAAACTTCAGTATTTTTCTGACTAGACAAAGTAGCTTGAATGAATTTTTCTACAGTGTCCTCCAATTTGTTCATTTTGTCTTGCATTGGCGGATAATGTTGCTACTGATGTTGGTATGGAGGTTGCTAATATGACTGTTGTTGATATGGAGATTGTTTATTGGATGAACTAGCACCTTGTTTCCACCCAAAGTTATGATTCTGATTCCCTCTCCATTCTTGTGAAAAATTATTCTGATAATTGTTGAAATTAGAGAAATTACCTTGTCTGCCTTGACTACTGCCTTGAGCACCCATATAATTAGCTTCTGCTTGTTGTAGGTTGCCTTGGAATGAGCAATATTCATTTGGATGATCACCTCCACACAAGTCACACTTCATGAATTGTTAACCAGGAATGAATTGTACTGCATGTATTTGTTGAGGTATTTTTTCTATTTTCTGGTTCAATGCTTCAATCTGTTGAGTGATAAGTTTATTTTGGGATAAAAGAGCATCTGAGGTGCTAAGTTCAAGTACTCCTTTCCTCTGAACTGGATGTCTATCATGTTGGGTTTGTTGGTCTGTAGAGGCTAATGCATCAATAATACTTGTGACATGTTCATCATCTATCTTCATCATAGTTCCTCCTGCTGCAGCATCTAATAACATCTTTGTATCTGATCTCAGGCCAGTATAGAAAATATTCAACTGAGCAATGTCTTAAAATCCATGATTTGGGCATCTCTTTAACAGTGATTTGAATATCTCCCATGCTTCACAAAAGGATTCATCCGCTCCTTGTCTGAAAGTTGAAATGTCGGATTTTTCTTTGATGTAGCGGGATGGTGGAAAAAATCTATTCAGGAACTTATCTTCTACAATACCCCAGTTGGTCAAACTCTGATTAGGATGTGTTGTTAACCACTCCTTTGCCTTTCCTGCCAAAGAGAAAGGAAATAATGTCAAGTATGCAGATTCAATGTTTCCTTCTCTAAATCTCATGGTATTAATTAACGCATAAAAAATGGACAAATGAATATATGGATCTTCATGATCTAATCCAGTGAATTGATGGACACTAATCAAGCTTAAGAAAGGTGGTTTCATCTCCAATGTTTGGTTGGCTGGTATTGCAATGCTAGAGAAGTGGCTTGGACCTTGTTGCATAACATAGTCTCCAAGTGTTCTTCTAGGTGGATTTGGATTTAGATTTTGGTTTTGATTTGCTCCTTCACCGTCCATGTCTTCTATGATTGAATCTGGTAAATTGAGTGCGGAAGAAGAATTAACTGAGTCTCCTGTGGCTTGTTCTTAAATTTCCCTTCTTCTTCTACCATGGTTCCTCCGAGCGGTCTTTTCAATTTCATGATTAAATTCCAACTGCTCTAAAGATATTTGTCCTCTTAAACGCATAAATCGAAGAGCAACTCAAGCAAAGATTAGCACAGAACAACAAAAATAAAACAAAAACAAAAATAAATTACTTAATAAGCTTAAACAAAAAATTCTCAAAGAACACCTATCCCCGGCAACGACGCCAGAAATACTTGTTGAATTTTTGACAAGCGTACCAAATTTATCAATCGCAGTATAGTATTTCAATTAAATAAAAATCGATCCCACGAGGAACGATCTTAATGAAAATTCCCAATTATATGCTTACTAATTGGATTAAAGCAAAAGATATTGTTCATAAAGAGTTGCAATGAAAATAAAATGACAAAGAATAGTAAATTGTTTAGAAAAGATCAATTAAAAACACTTAGGATTAATTTCTTTCCTTTTCCCTCTTTTGCAATGGCTATGTTCAATTAAGATCATCAATTAACTTAACAATGTTGATGTCACCTACTCAAATCATTCATGTTGATTTCTTACACATGAAATTCATAAGAAAACCTAATATATGTTGATTCCTCACACACTTACGAGATTATTCAGCAGTAGGTTTAGGGTGTTAAGCAATTGATATATTTATTTCATTCCTGACAATTAGCGTAACAAATATTCTTACCATGATCTAGGGTTCAAGATATATTTTCCAATAATATCCCAAACATCAAGAATAAATCATTCCAAGGCACAAAAGATAAGAATAACAACATCAAAACATAGATTAATATCTCAAAATATCACCAAGATACAAAAGAGTTCAAAGGAAATGCACCCAATCCCAAGAAAATGAAGTTAGTCACCCATGGTGGCCATTACAATGCTCTAATTGATGAAGATTGGACGAAACCATCAGTAGTTACGCCTCCTCTCCCAAAAACCTAACTCCTTTTCTCAAAACACAACTTCTCTTTAAATAGAAAAATTCTGGGTCGAGACTTTCGCTCAAGCGAATGATTCTGTTTTCACTCAAGCGACTAAATACTCACTTGAGCAGGTGAGTTCCCGAGATGAATAACTAATTTTCGCTCAAGCGAAAAAGTGCTTCGCTTGAGCGACTGATTCTAGAGAAGAATAACTTATTTTCGCTCAAGCAAGAATCCATCCCGCTCGAGCGACTTCCATACTGAAAATCTTCTTCTATATTTCAGTTTTTGCTTCAATTGTGCTTACAATTATGCTCATTGCTCTTGTATCAAGGTATTCTCGAATTCATCCTATATTGGAAGAAAAATAGATTAGAATTGTCATAAGTTAAGTAATCTCATAACAATTAAAAGTATAATTATATCTACTTTTTACCACTTAACACCTACTACCCTATGTTACGGACACAAAGCTCAAAACTCACAATTTATATACCCTTTGCCAAGGAAATATTATGATTATCTTAATAAGAGAATTCAAGTTTTTGACATGATTAGGCTTGGGAGTTTAAATATAAAGGTATATCCTTTTAATAGTCTTCCTTACTAGCTTATAAGATGATATTGAAAAGATAAAACTTTAATGTAATGAAAATACAAAACACATTAAATACTTGATATACAAAAGAAGAGGATTAGTAGGAAGGTATTGTCTAAGGATTTAGAATTATTCTTAATTTGTACATAAAAAACAAGAAAGTATAAAACAATTTTGTATGAAGTGATTGTGATTTAAGGAATACCCTATGGTACGGACACAAAGCTCAAAACTCACAATTTATATACCCTTTGCCAGGGAAATAATATGATTAAAAAATTTTGCAGAAAAATTCACATGAATTTGATGATTTTAGTAGTGATGGGTAATTGGATGAAACCTATGCCTACTACCCTATGTTACGGACACAAAGCTCAAAACTCACAATTTATATACCATTTGCCAGGGAAATATTATGATTATCTTAATAAGAGAATTCAAGTTTTTAACATGATTAGGCTTGGGAGTTTAAATATAAAGGTATATCCTTTTAATAGTCTTCCTTACTAGCTTATAAGATGATATTGAAAAGATAAAACTTTAATGTAATGAAAATATAAAAACATTAAATACTTGTCATACAAAAGAAGAGGATGATTAGTAGGAAGGTATTGTCTAAGGATTTTGAATTATTCTTAATTTGTACATAAAAAAACAAGAAAGTATAAAACAATTTTGTATGAAGTGAATGTGATCTAAGGAATACCCTAAGCTCAAAACTCACAATTTATATACCCTTTGCTAGGGAAATATTATGATTAAAAAATTTCTGCAGAAAAATTCACATGAATTTGATGATTTTAGTAGTGATGGGTAATTGGATGAAACCTATGCCTACTACCCTATGTTATGGACACAAAGCTCAAAACTCACAATTTATATACCCTTTGCCAGGAAAATATTATGATTCTCATAATAAGAGAATTCAAGTTTTTGACGGGATTAGGCTTGGGAGTTTAAATATAAAGGTATATCCTTTTAATAGTCTTCCTTAGTAGCTTATAAGATGATATTAAAAAGATAAAACTTTAATGTAATGAAAATACAAAACACATTAAATACTTGTCATACAAAAGAATAGGATTAGTAGGAAGGTATTGTCTAAGGATTTAGAATTATTCTTAATTTGTACATAAAAAACAAGAAAGTATAAAACAGTTTTGTATGAAGTGATTGTGATTTAAGGAATACCCGGGTTCATTCTTAGGCTGGAAAATCACTTCAGTGTAAAAATGGTTTTGGGCCGATTCCTACATTACATAAGCATTATTTATTACGTGTTGGGACAAATTCTACTTTCTTTTCAGAATTTGGAGGTGAAACTCATGTTTCTTTCATTAGGGAAGAACTCGTTTCATTGAAAGTTGAATTCATAAGAAATTACCCTATATGGTAATGAATTATGGCATTTAATTCAAGCAATGACTGTTGGGACACATTTTTTTTCTCAGAAAATGAGAAATGTTACTATGAGAAAACAGATTAAAAATGATTACAATGTAGTTACTTTTTCCAACACAATTGTTATAGATATAAATGGTTGTTCTTTTATGAGGTAATGAAAAAAAGGAGAAATATTTTAAAAAAATGTGATGTACTATTATTAACTACTTAGTTTGTGTTTGGTGATATAACTTTTACTATAAAAGCTAATCTGGTGATATAATAAATGAATCTCCCATAGCATTCCTTTGGCATCGTTTAAAAAAAATTATATTTTTAGTGAAACAAGGTATTACATTATTTATTTATTTTTAAATTATTAGAGTTATGAATATGAAAAAATCAAATTGATATATTTGAAATAATTATTTAGTAAGATAATGTGGGTTCAATTATTGTAGATTCTTTCTTATTTATTCTTTACTTTGCTTCTACATTTACCTTTTTTCTTCCTCCAAATTCGAACACTGTTTTTATACCTCATTTACAAAAATATCACAATAATCTCAATGGGCCTTCAACCTTTCCAACTCTCAGGCTCTATGATTTTAGTTTCAGGTCCAACTATTTACACGTTCTCACTTTATTTACCGGTTTTGTATATGATTGAATAATACCAACGAACATCCTTTCTAGAAAATAACAAGACATGTACTCAAAAAAAATTTATTCTTTTTCCACTCTTATTTACATGAGATAGTATTTAAGGTGTCTGAATTGTTACTCTAATCCCTTTTCCTTTTCCGATTTGGTGTCAACTGTTCAGGGAGAGGGGTGGGTTTAACCGAGGCGGAGGCAGAGTCAGAATTGGCAACGTCAGGGCCACTGCCATCGGAGAGGGTTGTCCAAAGCCAAACGACTTTGGCTAAGGCGAATAGGGAGGGAGAAACTTGCGGCGGATACGCGAGGAGAATGTTCTACCTTCGCATGCTGAGTTGGTGAAGCGCGGTGGAGAGGTCTATGTCGTCGGATATGATCAAGTAGTTAGTGGGGGCGGGATTGTCTACTGCCACAACAACATGTCCATTAGGATCTTTTTGTCCCTATCTTTCACATCTGATAGAGACAATCAAACGGTCAAGCGAGAAGAGTCACGTGAGTGAGTGAGTATGTATGCGCGTGTGTTCACAAGACTGTGTTTGAGCATGATTATCCGCGGCCATGTGGTTGAGAGTGAAGCCGGTGCTGAAGAGCGCGTGCTGGATGGGCAGCGGAATGCGGTTGGTGTCGCCGTAGGCAAAGATGGAGACGACGCCGACGTAGTTGGAGTTGACGAGAGCAGAGACTATGTTCTGCGAGACAGAGTGAGCGTCTTTACCGTTGGGAACGTGACAGCGGTGAATGTCCCACTACACAGAAATTTTGGCCTATGAGTATGTCGTGGAGGTGGTTGCCCCTGGATTGCCAGCCATCCACACGCACCCATTGAAATTCTTATCTCTTGGTCTGAAGAATGCAATATGATCATGCATTAATTCATTTTTTGGTCTGAACAATGCTTATCATGCACTACTAACTCACCTCTCTCTCTCTCTCTCTCTCTATATATATATATATATATATATATATATATATATATATATATTTTGAGTGTTGATATTTTTCCCTCAAAATTGAATCAACAGCATGAGTAATTGGATAAACCTATGCATACTACTCTATGGTACAGACATAAAGCTCAAAACTCACAAGTTATATAAAAATATTCTTTGAGAACTCTTATTTTTATTAAAATCTTATTATTATTATTATTATTATATTAATAAAAAGGTGTTCTATTTGAAGTTATTTAAAAGATGGGATGTCTAAGTATCACTGTCCAAGTTATATAGTCTTTGTCATGGAAATATTATGATTATCTCAATAAGAAAATTAACTTTTTGAAATTATTAGGCTTAAGAGTTTAAATATAAAGTAAATATATGGGAAAATTCTACTTTCTTTTCAAAATTTGGAAGTGAAATTCCTGTTTGTTAGTAAGGGAAGAGCTCGTTCCATTGAAAGTTGAATTCATAAAAAAAAAAAAAAAGAGAAATCTAAAAAAAAATGTAAAGTACTATTGTTAACTGCTAAGTTTGTGTTTGGTGATATAACTTTTACAATAAAAGCTAATCTGGTGATATAAAAAAATGGAATCTCCCATAGTATTCCCTTGGCGTCGTTTCAAAAAAATTATATTTTTAATGAAACAAGGTATTACATTATTTATTTATTTTCAAATTATTAGAGTTATGAAACTGAAAAAATCAAATTGATATATTTGAAATAATTATTTAGTAAGATAATGTGGGATCAATTATTGCAGATTTTTCCCTGTTTATTACATTTACCTTCTTTCTTCCTCCAAATTCAAACACTGTTCATTATACCTCATTTACAAAAATATCACAATAATCTCAATGGGCCTTCAACCTTTCCAACTCTCAGGCTCTATGTTTTTAGTTTCAGGTCCAACTATTTACACTCCCCTTTTTGCTAGTATACTTCCCTTTTGTTTCCATTTTACTTAGAAAAAAATAGAAAAAGAAAAAGAATACACAGTAGGTGTCATCTGTTTTCTTTCAACTAATTGGGTCTCTACTGCCCAAATGCTACCTCATGTTTCTCAATGTGAAGAAAAACTAAACACTAACAGAAAAAAATGTTAAATATCATAATTTTGTCACATAATTTGTACAACTTGTAGAAACAAACATATTATTAAGTTATTATACTGGCTTCTTTTGTGCTCAAAATAACTTATTTTTTATATCTTTAATTATTATAATATAAGTTTAATTCTTACTTCACTTATTTACTTGAAAATTGAGATTATTTTTATTTATTTAATAAGATTCAAATATCAGTATGTACCAAAAATTTAATGGTCAATATTACAAGTAAAAGAGTAAGATTTTGATATAATTTTAGCGTACGGTATTTATATACCACTTGATTAAAAACTTCAATCAAAATATTTCCTTAAATTTAGAATTAGAATAACTTTATTTCTTATTGTAGACCCCTAATCTTGCAAGGTCTCATAATAAGACCAGAAGACCTCATTTTCGAAGATGGATGAAGCCTAAGAAGCCATTAGGAGAGACTATTAGGCCTCATATTAGGATAAGAAGATTTTTCTGCATTAAAATAAGGATTTTCGCCTTCAGGGATCGAGACCGCCGTCTCGCTTTTCGGGACCGCCGTCTCGCCATTCCTGCAGGACGAGTCTCGCCACCTGTGAATGGCGAGACCCCCCTCTCGTTGGGTGAGACGGTCTTCTCACCATTTTTACAAGGCAAGACGGGCGTCTCGGCCTGACAAGCGCGAATCCCTATAAATAGCAGCGCTTCCCCCCTCATTTCACACAGTTCTTCCACTTTCCCTTCTACAACTTCTTCAAATTCTCTTCCTAGAACCCCTCCGAAGCATTTCCGGAGTTTCTGAGAGTTTCTTAGAGATTTTTATAGTGTTTCCGAGATATCCGTTGTTGTAAAGAGCGAAGGGCTACCAAAACACACCCTAATTTTCAAGAAATTAATTAAAGAGCTTGCTTCGGAGGTTTCTTCTTTCTCTCCCTCACTTTATTGCCTTTACTTTTATGATTAAATTGCGTAATAGATATTAGGGTCATGTAGTTGTTACTTTAACTCCGTAAATAAAAGGGTAAAAGCGTCTTTTCACAAAGTTTATTTATTAAATAGCTGGCCTATCATAGGGAACCCGAAAGGGGCGTCGTAAGGGAACTAACACTTCCCTTACACGTAACTAACTCCCTTACCTAAACTCTGGTTTTAACGACCAAAGTTGGTTTTCGAAAACCAACGCCTTTTTACTCCTTTTTCGATGTTTCCGGTAAAAACATCGGTGGCGACTCCATAAGAACCCTTCAAAATTAGTTCTTGAGTTAGCCCGGTTATCGAACAATCCAAGAACACCTTTTCGAAAACCTCGCCTCTAGGTTTAGCTCGGTTATCGGACAACCTAAAGGCGTTGTAACCACACCCATAAAAACGCGAAAATTGGAAAGTCGGAACCATCGCGTCGCTCTGACCGCCTCGTTTTGACGACGGCGACAGATGGCGACTCCACTGGGAAAGCCTAGAGAGTTGATCCCATTTAATGATGGGCCAGCATAAATAAATAAGCCAAGAAATTACACTTTTACCCTACCTTGTATTATAACATGTTTTAATTCTTGGCTTTAATAACTGTTGGTTGTTTATTTTACGCAATTCTTTGAAATGCAAATTGTACACAAACCCTTGCACACAACAGTTCCCTCTATACCCGGGGGCAAGTGAGAAATTCATAGGGAGTGGGTGGCAGGTACGGTTCGCTGTAGTGATGGCCTTGTGCCCACCAGTGTGATCGGAAACCACCACTCAAGGTGATAACCTTCCTCTTTTGGCACGAAGACTGACTATGGCCTTAGTGCTAAGTATGGTCGGAAGGCTGGAGAGTGGGGACCCTATAATGGGGGCACCTTGGGGGCCTTAGCCTTGGTGAGAACAGTTAGAACCTACCTTCGCCAATGCACTTTTCTGCAGGAAAACCCTACCTCGTGATTAAAACGACTTCTCGCCTGTTCGTGGATGATCGAATTGTGTGCGCATTTTTTTGTCGCATTTGTTTGTTGCATAGCATAACCAAACAACAGAAAAATCATAAAAAACATTTTTGCAATAAACACCCTTATCTCGGACAGTCTGCCTTTTAGCTAGCTTGGTTTCAGGTTCTTTGTAAGCTAAGTAGCCACGCAGTCCGACAAAAAATATAAAAGGCTATAAAATAAAAATAAAAATAAAAATACAAGTCAAAACTAGAAAATAAATAAGATGATCTCTGACAAAGTCAAATCATTCATATTACATCATATCATGAGTAAAGAAAAACCAAGAGAGAAAATAAAAAGCGAGAGCACATTTTGGCATCATCTAAACAGAATCTCTCATACATAAACACATTCATATTAGTCCTACACTCAGCATGCATTAATAAATTTCTTTCGGGCATTCTAGAAAGTGGCTGGTTCTCTCCCCATCCGAACTCGTGCACAGAAAGCCAGAGCAATGGAGAACCTGGAGGAACAAAACTGTAAGCTCACTGCAGAGGTTAATACCATCCGCGAACAAATGGCTCAACTAATGGAGGTCATACGCCAAGGGCAAAATAAGGGTGAAACCCACGCAGAAAACACCTCTCGCCATGAAGAGGAGGAAGAAGAGGAAGTCTTCTACGATGAAAAGGATGCTAGGACTGTACGCATCCTCACCCCGGAGGTTTCTAAGCAGCAGATATCCGCCCTAGAGGAAAGGCTGAAGGCGGTAGAGGGACACAACTTTGACGTCAAGGAGGTGGCGGACATGTGCCTGGTGAAGAATATCCATTTCCCTCCCAAGTTCAAAGTCTCGGACTTCCCCAAGTATGCCGGGCTAACCTGCCCCAAGAACCATCTTACGATGTATTGTCGTAAGATGGCCGGACACGCTGAAAATGAAAAACTCCTGATCCACTGCTTCCAGGAGAGTCTGGCCGACACAACTCTCAACTGGTACATGCAGTTAGAAAGAGGGCAGGTTCAAAACTAGAAATAGTTGGTTGACGCTTTCCTTCGCCGTTACCGATATAATATCGATCTGACCCCTGATAGGTCAGATCTCAGGACCCTAAGCAAAAGGGACGACGAATCCTTCAAAGCATACACCCAAAGGTGGAGGGAAATGGCCGCCTAAATAGAGCTTCCACTGACAAATAAAGAGACAGTGGCTATGTTCATAGATTCACTGACTGGAGCATACTACGATAAGGCAATAGCCAGTACCTCCAATCTTTTTCGGACATAGTCACTGTAGGAGAAAGAGTGGAGCAGGGGCTGAGGAGTGGGAAAATAGCGCGACCTTCTTCTTCCGGTACTTCATTCAAAAAACCCTTCAAAAAGAAGGAGGAGGCCGTACACGCCATTAATTTCGCAACCCCTTCCTCCACCTCTCAGACAGAGAGGCAGTCACGAAGAAAGGAGAGGAAGTTCACCCCTATCCCCACCTCATACGCAAAGCTGTTGCCCCAGTTATTACAGGCCAATCTTCTGGCGCGCGTCCCTCCCAAGAAAATTGAGCTTCCCTACCCTGAGTGGTATAAGCCCAACGAAAAATGTAGTTATCACTCAGATGCACCTGGGCATTCAACGGACAACTATTTGACCTTAAAATATAAGGTCCAGGAACTAATTGATGCCGGTTGGATAACCTTTGATACCTCTGCTTCTGATGTCGACGCCAAACCTCTGGTTAAGCCAGAGTAGCAGAGAGGGAGGACTGGGAGGATCAGCCCCTAGGGTTCCTTTTAAAAGCTTTTTTCTTGTATCTCCTGCGGTCCCCGCCCGTGGCCGCAGGAACTCCGATTAAAAGGGCTTGTACATACGTTTTTTAATACATGAGGCATTTTCTTGTCATATTCATTTCATTCTTTTCCCTCTTTTATTTATTATTCTTTCAAAGATAATTGAATAATAAAATCTATGACTAAAACAGAACCTAAACACACATCATGTATGTGATTGATGAATCTCTATGGACCCCGAAAACTGAAAGCGAATGGGTCGAGTCCGACAGTGAGCAGGAGACCATTTCTCCGAACATGCAAAGAATGCTGGAAAAAGAAGCACGCATTATACAACCACATCAAGAAGAAACATAAACTGTCAATTTGGGAGAAGGGGATGATGAGAAAAAGATAAACATCGGCACCCAAATAAAAAGTAGCATAAAAAAGGGATTGATACAGCTTCTAAAGGAATATCTGGATGTATTCGCTTGGTCTTATCATGACATGCCCAGGCTCGACACGAGTATAGTGGAGCATAGATTGCCATTAAAAGAAGGGTTCCGACCTGTGAAGCAAAAGCTCAGAAGAATTAAACCAGACTGGTCCTTAATGATTAAGGAAGAGGAACAAAGGCAACTGGACGCCAATTTCCTAGTAGTTTCCAAATACCTAGAGTGGTTGGCCAACATAGTACCTATCATCAAAAAGACCGGGAAGGTCAGCGTATGCGTGGATTATAGGGACCTCAATCGAGCAAGTCCAAAAGATGACTTTCTCGTACCACATATAGACACACTAGTAGACCATACCGCTA